AGTTCATGAACGAGCTAGACATGCTCACGGCATCTAGTGTAAGTAAATTTTATTTCCCATGCTGGTTTGAAATGGTTTAGTATACCATCTAACATTTTTTTGGACATGTTGCAGGTGTCGTGGGAGCCGTATGATGGAGAGGGGGCACTTCCTTTTCATTTGAGCAACATGTGTGGGTTCGACAATGACTTCTATAGGATGTGGTGCCCTCTAATCTATTTCTATGCTATCGAGTTCCACCTGCCAGATAGAGTTAGACGCCAATTTGGAGTGAGACAGCTTTGGCCAACGGCTCTGTTCTCGACTGGCGTTGACTTACACAAGTAAATGTTTTGCTATTTCAAATGTCTCATGATGGTCCATTTCCATTAATATGGTGACATGTACATGGATTCAAGTAACGATGACATACGTGCAGGCTGGATCATTAGAAGAACAGAAAGATTCTTGACTGGAAGAAGCACCACCAGTACTACATTGAGCAATGGGAGGAGATGCACGACAACGTGGATGAGAACAACGAGCCACACACGAACCGTGAGTTTAGGCGGAACCAAGCTTGGTACCAACGTGCGACACGTTGTAGCCTTAGGGTACAGTGGATAGAAGATGACTACGCCGACATTGAGTCCTCCGATGATGAAGGCATGGCGTATGACCAGTCTACTCGTGCAGGAAGACAGGTGGAGGCAGGACCAATCTTGGACAGAGTGGTAAGTCAATTGTCTTATTTTTCTACGTTAAGTTACATACCAATACATTATGCGTTAGAGGTATCTATTTTAGTTAGTGCCACCTTCAAGCCATAGCATCCTTATAATGTATTATCACTGAGAACTTTGTTGTAGGGCAACACCATTAAATGCTCCATTGAAGACATTGAGCGCTTTCGTCCGAGAGTCAGGGACGACGACACACATAGCTTCCTAGATGTAAGATTCAAAATATTCTTTCAAACATATTATTAATATGTTAGATTCTTTCAGTTAACATAATTTTGTACAACAGAGGCTGTCACATCGGCTACGCCAAGCGGCTGCTCGTTGTGGTTGCAGGACAGACACGACGCAAGATGTGTATGTTCCTTCCATAGGCAGAGGAGGCTTAGGTTCCTCTAGCCAAGCAGCTATAGGGGACGAGGACGAGGATGAGGACGACGTGGACCAAAGGCATGAGGAGCTTGGCCCCTCTCAGCTCTAGGACGCTCCCTCGACTCAGCCTACACAGCCTCCAGGCACTAGGCGACACCGTCCACCTGACCCTTACACTCCAGGTACCAATGCTCTCGGTCACAAGGGTAGGGATAAGACTAGGAGGCAGTGAGAGTTTGTGGTAGATGTTAGTATGTACTATTATGGATTTTGTAGTCGCTTTCCTATAACTATTTGGGACTGTATAGACATTGTGGACTATTTAGACTATGCAGGACATGTTATGTTGATTGTGATGTTTGTTGTGGTTGCATTGTGCTCTTTGGATGATTAAATGTTTGGATTATATAATGATGTCTCTGTTTGGAACTGTGTATGCTCCTAAAACAAGGGAAACTCTTACGAATTTTTTCTGTGAATCATTAATTATACTACACTGCTAAATAGGCACAAATGTAGTACACATATTAATTGTAAATTCATTAGAATGTGTATAGTCCAATTTTATCGTACAGACTGTCGGGAGTTCCGACGTACGTCGGGACTTCCGACGTACGCAAACAGCCGGCCAGCAAAAGCCTAGGTGTCGGGACTCCCGACTTGGGTCAGGACTTCCGATGGCCACAGTCACTGCGCAGGCTAAGTAACTGGGCGTCAGGACTTCCAACGTGAGTCGTGACTTCCGACGATCGGGAGTTCCGGCTTACGTCAGGACTTCCAACACCAACAGTCACTAAAAATATTCTACGTGCTCGTAGAGTGCTAGAGTGTCTCCCTTTTAATTTTATTTTTATGCTTGAGCACTCTATCTTCCTCAGACCAACTAAGTTTGCATCCCTCTTTATAGTGTGGTGGATCCTAAACTCAAAAACAAAAATAAAACCTTTGGAGAGCGCTTTGAGTTCGTCCGCCTTTACAGCTTCAAGAATTGAGGGATACCATTTCATCTTTATCTACTCTTTAAATCTTTCATGGGACTAATAGCTGTGACATATCTCATTAAGATCACATTAGTCCCTAATTTGAATGTCATCAATACACCAAAACCCACATAGGGGGCAAATGCACTTTCAAATCCTCAGTCTAAAACATACTGAGTAAGCAACTCATCATCTGAGTACATGTCCTCTACCACAACCTTGTTGTGGTGGCTAGGCTCACCTGCACTGCTCTAACCTACGTGTCGCCTATAGTATGCATCCTCCACTTCATCTGCGGCCTCTGCGGCCTGAGTGAAGAACGTATCGTCATCCTCCTCCGCCTATAAGCCCGCCTCTGCTAGAGCGATGAGCTCGCTCAGTCTACGAGTGTCGTCCTCTGCCTCCTCCGCCTGCAAGCCCGCCTCAGCAAGAGCGATGAGATCACTCAACCTGGCAGTGTCGTTCTCATCCTCATCCCCATCATCAGACAACACAATCGGTGATTGAACGGTGCGACTAGCTCATGTTCTGTGCTCATCTAACTTTTTTTCCTCATACCTTGCATGAGGCACCTCTGTGGCATGATCCTCACTGCATCCAATCCCTTCATGTATAAAATGTAATCAGTTAGCAACGCGATTATATTACATTTAAAATCATGCAACGAAAAAAAGGCTTTCAAGCACTCACTGGCACATAATGCAACAACATGCTCGTTCAAGACCTGTATCTGTACTCTTGTCTCCTTCCTTGTCCTCTCCTCCTCTAACACCCTCCGTCTCTCCAATCTCTATTTGTCAAGCCCAACATCGATCAAGTTACGAATACCGCGCTGTCTAGCAAACTTACGCATCTTGTCTTTGTAATGTTTAATGAATAGGTTGACGTAGTCAGGTCCATATCTCCTCTTCCGTGCAATTACTTGCCTCTCCTTCAGTTCATCCAAGAACTTAGTTTGACCCTCATAATATTCCCACCTGCATTTCCTAGTGCTCTATTCAAACAAAAAATTATATCATATATGTCTTAACAAAAGAAACAAAATACGATTTCATGTTTACCACAAAAATAATCAACCTCATCATAATCAACCATATGGCCGCAATAATGGCCTATTACAAGCTCCGAAGGGACAAGATCGTAGTTGAATTTAACACCACATTCGCACTTGACTGGAGGTGCTTTATAAATTAACCTTTCTTTCTTCTTTTCCTTTGCCTTTGGTGGCTCCGGCCATTGATTCTTAGGACCGTAGAGTCACTCATTGAAACGACACTTCGTAAATCCATAACGCTATAAGAGAATATATTAGTACACGCACACCTATAGAGATAAACATTTAAACAGATACACTTTCCACTTACTTTGTGTTTATTCGGACATACAAACTCCAACGTATTTTCAAGGTTTATCACAACTCGATCTCCGCATTCGCACAGAGGAGGTTCCTCGAGTCGTCTAACTGCGGCTAGGTGCTTCTCCTTAGCCGTCATTGGCGGGGGTTAGGGGGGGTGGAACCCACCGCTTGAAGTGCTCACGTGGATTTCTCCCTCTACACCAATCATCAAAAAGGAGATACCTAGGATCAAACTTGTCTGCACTGTTGATCCACTAAAAGAAAAAGCACCCCTCATGGTCCTACACAATAAGATTCCAACAAAATATTAGTAGCCTACTTACACAAATAAAGAAAAAAGATAGTGAAAATAATTACTTACATTAAAACGACTGCATGTGTAGAAGCAACGCGCCGCTGTGTCTGGATGTCTCGATTGAAACACGTCGGCCGGGAAACCACAATCACAGTTAGGGACAGGGAGGTCAGGAGGGACGGGGCATCTTTGCTAGACGCGTCAGGGTATAATTCTCGAGGACGACCCCAGTTTTCGCTAAAACTTCTCCCGATAATTTCTTGCATTTAACAAAACGGTTGTAATTTAACAAACAAAAATCAAAACATCACAAATTAATGTCAATGAGAACCATAACTACAATACAACCAATTTCGTTCTAAGAACCAAAAGCAATTAACATTAAACCATAAACCTAGGATTGTATAATACAAATATTAAAAATTGCATGAAACCCTAAGTAATAACGATTCTTAGGTTAAAAATCCGACTAATATATACCGAATCGATCGGAAAAAAACTAAGAGGGAAGTGAGGATACCTTGCTTTCGAAGATCTACGGATCAAATCAAAGTTTTCAAGGTCCAATATGCCGATTCGTGAGGTAAGACGAAATGGGGAGAGAGAAAATCCGAGATGGAGGAGAAAGAAGAGGAAGAAAGCTCGGACAGGAAGGTTGGGGCTAGAGTTAAAACACCACCTCGGCGCCATAGATCATGGCGCCAAGCTCGGCGCCAAGATCTACGACGTCGAGCTCGATGCTAGGATCTACGGCGTCAAGCTTGACGCCAGAATCTATGGCGCCGAGCTGTCTGCCAAGTTACCGCCACGTCTGCGTCGAGCCCAAGATCTCGGCGCCGAGCAGTGTAAGCTCGACGTTAGAAACGCTGGCGCCGAGCTAAGGTTCAGGTTTTGAAATCTTATCTCCAGATACTGTATTTGTGAAAATTAAAAAAAAAGGCTAAAAAATAAAAAAAATTCGGCAACGCGGCCGCCGGGGGCTGGCCGACCCAGCGCTGACTCAGCCCCCCGCACCGCAGATATGAAGCCGCCGCCGCCCGCCGATGCGGCGCCCCCCGCGCCACCGCCACCACCACCACCCATCGTGCTCGAATTTTACCCCACCCCCTGCAGAAAAATCCAGTATTTAAGCGCCGCAGAACACTCGTCGAGGTTATAATTTTTCTTGAGAGGACAGAGGACCACCACCCGACCGGACCGGACAGGACGGGACCGCGACAGAGAGAGAGGGAGCCAGAGGCGGAAGATCCGGAATCTCGCCGGCGTCCGGCGTGGTGATGCTGGTGGGGGAGGTGGCGGCGCGGCGAGGAGGAGGAGGAGGAGGGGCAGGGGGGATGGTGCTGGGCGGCGGCATGGGCATGGCGGCGGCCGCCGTGGGAGGGGACGACGCCGTCGTCATGCAGCTGGCCGCCGCCGAGGGCGAGGAGACCGTCATCACCGTCAACTGCCCCGACCAGGCCGGCCTCGGCTGCGACCTCTGCCGCACCATCCTCGAGTTCGTCCTCCGCATCACCCGCGGGGGTACGCCCCGTTACCGTTGCCCCTGGCTTCTTCCTCCCTCTCTGCGATGAAATTCAGTTCAATCAATCGAGCCACCCGGCCATCTCTGCAGGAAAATCGATTCCTTGTCTCGCCTGCGATTCAGAGTCCGGGTAGCTAGAGTGCTGGACTACAATTTCGATTTCGTTTTCACCTTCCGTTTGATTGATTCCGACTGCTCGTTGTGGAGTTGCGTCGACAAAGATTTTATTTTTTTTCGTCCATTTTTCTCCTTCTTTCCAGATTTCTGTTTCAGTGATTTGATTTGGGTGTACAGCTCACCGGCGACATCTTTTTTATGTTTCATCGTTATCTCTCTGCTCTTTTTTAGTTTCTAGAACGGAAACCTTCCATTTCCCATCCCTTTCTTATACTGCCAAGTTGCCACCAATCTTGCTACAGTTCATGTCGTCTCCTTAATCATTACAACTCATTACTGCTATCTATGTTGACCGTGCCGTACATGCCGACAATTTGCAGCTCTTCACTTGTCATAATAGTACATGCTTGTCCTTCGGTCCTTGTTGCAGTTCAGAATTCTGCGAACCTGCCTGCAACCCTTTGTTGCTGTCGTCTAAAATTCGATTCCTTTTTGTATGTGATTCTAGCAGACGTGTCTACGGACGGCCACTGGTGCTTCGTGGTGTTCTGGGTGGTGCCCCGCTCCTCGTCCATCAAAATCCGGTGGGCGAGCCTCAAGAACCGGCTCATGTCGGTGTGCCCGTCCTCCTATTCCATCCCGTTTTACCCAGACATCAGCCAGCCAGGTCCCTCGCAGTTCTACCTCCTCAAGCTCTTATCGCCGGACCGCAAAGGATTGCTGCATGGTAACTATCTCTTCATTCATGCCTCATAAGTGTATAAAAGCTTTTAACGGCTGCTCTGTGAATGAAATTGGAATAGTACTGACTGTGCCGTGTCATCTGCAGATGTGACGCACATACTATCAGATTTAGAGCTTATAATCCACAGAGTGAAGGTGTCGACCACACCGGACGGAAGAGTCGTCGACCTCTTCTTTATCACTGACGGCATGTAAGGGCACAACCATTTTGTATCTGTTGTTGCCTGAGGCATTAGCTTCAGGTTTATGGCACTGATTATCGCAGCATCACGCAGTAATTCAGAAATATGACTGGTCATGTTTTCTCTCTGAAGGGAACTGTTGCACAAAAAGGAAAGGCAAGAGGAGACTTGCTCGACGTTAATTGCTACCTTGGGTCCTTCCATAAGCTGCGAGGTTCTACCAGCAGAAGGGTTCCAGCAGGGATTCTCTTCTCTTCCACCGAAAATTGCTGAGGAACTGTTCAGGGTGGAACTAGCTGACAGCGAGATCTGCTCGAGTTCGCTTAGCGCAGAGTTGAAGAAGGTTCAGACGGCCACTATTAACTTTGATAATTCCCTGAGCCCTGCGCACACGCTAGTTGAAATTATCTGCGCTGATCAGAAGGGGCTCATTTATGACATATTGAGGACGATGAAGGACTGCAACATTCAGGTATTTGGAGCTCTATAATGCATCATTGTACTTATATATATTTCAAGTCAAATGATTTGTGCATATTATCTTACTATACCATTGTTTTTGGTACTTTGTTTCAGATATTTTACAGTCGGTTCAGATCAGACAAGAAAGGGTCAGTCAGTAAAGGTTGTCGAGAGGTTGATCTTTTCGTTAAACAAGTAGATGGCAAAAAGCTTGTTGATCCTGAGAAACAGGATGCTCTGCGGTCACGCCTGAGATCTGAGATGCTCCATCCTCTTAGGGTTATGATTGTCAGTCGTGGACCTGACACAGAACTCCTTGTTGCCAACCCGGTTGAGCTCTCTGGGAAGGGACGGCCACGCGTATTCTATGATGCCACTCTTGCTTTGAAAGCACTCGGGATCTGCATCTTCTCTGTAAGAATTCTCGGAACTAACTGAACCTAGAAGATAGCAAGCCAGTTCGTTCGTTGTGAGTTAGTATTTACTTTTTTTTTGTCATGTCAGGCTGAAATTGGGAGACAAGCAGCATCCGAGCGTCAATGGGAGGTCTACAGATTCCTCCTGGATGACAGCAAAGAGTTCCCCTTGGCAAACAGCCTCGCTAACAGGAACCGTGTTGTCGATAGGGTAAGGAAGACACTGATGGGATGTTACAACTAAGACTCGGTGTCGATCTGTCTGCCAAGAATTCAAAGCTTGAAGGCAACTGATACTGTCAGCTCCATCCAATGTACCCTGTAAATTATGTACCCCCAAATTATGGCCACTCCAGAATTCGAAATACAGTGGGCAATCTCAATGATTATCTTGCTGGCCAAACTGGTTTGTCTAGATTCTGCTGTCACTGACCACAGTTGCCTGTTCCGTCAAGGTAAATAAATCGTAGGATTTCAGAGCTAGCACGATCTATAACAAAGCAGTGCAAGACTTTCCACAGATGCTGCTGCCTGGAGTGTGCATGGCCACGGGGATGGTTGAAATCCGAGTTTGCACAGACTGGAATGAATCTTCCCGCCATGGATCCGTTGTCTACATGTTGAGAAAGAGGAGAGAGAGAAAGAGAGCATGTTTGGTGGGAGGTGCAAATCGCGGGAGCAATGATTGAGCTTTTGTTTGGTTCAGGGGGGTCTGTTGTAACTTGGAAATGTTGTATTCTCCCACATCTGCTTCACCAGTCACCACCTCCTTGCCTTGTTTTCCTGCCTCCTTCCTACCTTCCCTGTATGATTGCCCCGCTAGTAGTACTTTCTCCCAAATAGAAAAGAGTAATATAAGGTTTGCCCCCTGTGTCCTCATGTAGGCATAATTTGTACTTGTTTTTAAGGATGCATATTTGTATGTACTCCATTTGTTTAACTATTATTAGTACGCAAAGGTACAATTGTTTGTGCAGAGCATACAGTACGTGTTTAAGTTGGAAAGTAATCTGATGATGGATGCTGCTGTACCTGACTACACCACTACTCTCCGTCTCTTCATTATTGGTGTTTAATCATGGTTATTGAGAGCGTGCACAACACCCTGTCTCTGCGGTTTTCCATTCTCCACGTCCCAGTGTGTCCTTTTATTCCTCTTGCTTGCATTGCACATGGATGGCCATCTAGACACATCTTGAACAGTAGGGCTCATGGTTTCTTCTCATCAATGGTTTCTATCAGCTAAGCTCCTGCTGGACCTGCCGGCTTGTGCCTAACTTGCTACAGTAGCAGCTTCAGTTGTCAAGGGCAGAGAAGCATCATCTATGTATAGGTTATACAGGAGATGATGTTTATATGTATGTATGTATGTATGTAAGTATGTATGATTGCAAGCTGAAGTTGCGCTAACGTCAGATCGGGGGGTCATATTTATTCAGGGAATTTCAGAGAGCCAAGGATGGGAGGTGCAAGGAGGATATATATGATGATGGCCATGCATCCAGGAGGTGGAGGCCCAATTCGGGAAAGCGACTTGTGCGGCTGCCGGCTGATGGTTTTCAGGAATCAGGGAGATGGAATGGAGTAGCCATCGTCGTTGCGCTGGTTGGTCGTCGCTTTCCTTGCCTCCAAAAGCCCAGGGGCAACTTGCCCAACTTGCAAAAATATTAGATTGCCATGGATGATCCATGGTAATATGGATCGGCGCCGCATACCTTTCGACCTCGAAGTCGCTAGCTAGCTAGGATGGCGATACTTATATCACCAATATGCATTGCTAGCTGCTGTGACTGACCGACTGTCATACTATTCCCTCCGTTCTCAAAAGAACGTAGTTATGATATCCGTGCTGGTCAATTGAGCTTAAATTTGACTAAGTTTATAGTAACTAGTATTAGCATTTATAACTCTAAAAAAATAAATTTATTATAAAAATATGTTTTATAACTAATCTAATGGTACTTATTTTGTATAAAAAGTGTTTGTACTTTTTTTTGCACTGGGGTCACATTTGTTTGAATTTATAATCTCAGTAGTCATACGCGCATGAGCTCTGAAGATTTTGTATTGTATGCGGACACTTGGTTTCGGTCTTCGTACCAGAACACGGTAGAACGTGCACGTATGAGCTCCGAGTAGAGCATGATTTATATCAGACGTAGACACGTGAGTAGGGATAACATTTGGTACCACCGGGTAGGTGATGACTCTAGAGTCTTTTTAGGAGTAGTAGATTTAGTCAAAGTTCAGATGTTTGACTCCTTGAAATCTGAGAATCGTATTCTTTCAAGTAGTATTATCTTTTGGCACAAAAAAAATTTATGAATCGATAATGCTCCTATCAGGACGTCGGTCCGTGACTGCGTCCGAACGCGGCTCCCATGAGCGGGCCCTAAACAAAATAATCCCCATTCTGACGGCCTCCCACCGCTCACTCCCGCACGCGTCGGTCGTCCTCGCTTCCTCCACTCCATTCTTATCTTTTCCGCACTCGCGCCCTGCCCCACCCTGCGCGAGCGCGCTCCACCACCCCGACATCCTCCTCCCCCACCCCGGTGGCCTCCTCCCCACCCCAGCTCCTTCTTCCCCCACCCCGGCGACGCCCCTCCCCCCACCCAGCATCCTCACCCATCGAGAGTGCCGAACGCCCTCAGATCCGGTGGCCCTATCCCCCACCTCGACGAGATCCATGGAGGTGGCGTGGCTATGTTGCAGGGGAGTGGGCGGCTCTCCCCCACCCCGGCGTGGCGCCCTCTCTCACCCTTGCGACTGAGCTCCCCCTACTCCGGCGTCCGGAATCAACCGACCAAGCCTTCTCCTCCCCTATGTTGTATAGATATGTTTCAAGTATTTCAGGCATTTCAGAAGTATGTTGCATTTGTTTCATATAGATGTTGCAAAAGTATATCGGGGATGTTGCACTTATTTCAGAGGCATGTTTTGAGTGTTTCAGATGTATGTTTCATCTGTGTTTTTCGGACGCATGTTGTAAGTGTGTTTATCTGGATGTTGCATATGTTTCACACATACGTTACATGTGTTTTATATGGATGTTGCGTATGGTTGCAATAGGTTTCAAGTGTTTTTAAGTGTATTTTTTCAAGTGTTTCAGCTGTCTTCAGCATATGTTGCAACTGTTGTATTTGGATATTTTAAAAGTAGATCGAGTGTTGCATCTCTCCTTCCCACCTTCTGCTGCACCGTCTCTCCCGGCCCCAGCAGGGCATCCATACAACGCCGCGCTCGAGTCCTTCCGAATCGGAGGCGCCGCGCCCATCCCCTGTTGTTGCTTGGATGGCATGGGACTTGCGTGGATCACGGATCAGAGTGCAACGCGTGGGCGTCCATCCGGACGTCCGGGCGCTAGCACTACCGTTTATGAATTTATCCGCATATTCTTGTTTAAGCGGGATTAGGAGCATGATTATTCGTGTAAAGAAGATAATTAATTAATTAGGAATCATGATTACACGGTGCGATGAGCATGCATCATAAGCGTAATATATAACGTATAACCTATAAGCGTCGTTGTCTTGCATTGGTTTAATTATGAAGGTCTGCTCTGCGCACCGAGCAAACTGACAGTTGCTCAAACTAGCACTAGTCATACTAAAAATTATCAGTAACTAATTTATTCATGCATTATAAAAAAAACTAGTTTATCGATGCATGCTTGGCTCATCTGAAACTTTGTTATTTTCTCGCGAGAGACATGCTCTCGGAAATATTGTTGTCGATGGATTTTTTTAGCAAACATTATCGATGGATACATGGGCCGGGCCCATGTTATACTTTCTGTAAGTCTGAAAGGCCCATGTGTGCAAAAGGCTGGTACTGCTGCTCAGGAAAGCATTTCTGGATAATAAGTTATTGAAGTAACCTTGCCCCAAAAAAAAGTCATAATATATGGAGTAGACTTTAAGATTTGTTAGAATAGCTTCTCGTGAAAGTATTTTTTTGTCAAATTATTTCTGAAAATTATTTTGATAAAGTTTGTCTCATCAATAATGGCCTCCAAAACATGGCAATGCACTTGGTCCAACATGCTTGAGGCCCAATTAATAATGTCAACGGGCTCTCTCAGATGGACCCTGGAGTGGTCTTTTCACTCCAATACGCTCACATGCCATTGGTGAGGTCCGATCAGTCGATGTCGGCCCTGGGAGCAAACATGGGTACTTGGGTAGGACCTATTATCGTATCAGTTAGCCCAGCCATTCATGCAACATCCAAACAAATAGATGCTTTCGGTTAAATGATAATAGGTAGCACCGGCAAATGATCCTATTACCGTTGCCACTCTTCTGACGGAACCAAATAACACCTTATTTCTGTAGGAGCAAGTAAAAAAGGGTGAGAAATAGAACCGTCAAATCAGATTCGTTTCCAATAGCCATGAGATGGTTATCTTAGGGTGGTTTCTTTTTGTCAAGTGATGCTCCTATTATACTCTTAGTCTCTGAAGGATGAGAAGACACTATGTAGCGTTTAAATCAATAATTGAAACATTGTATACGCCATTTTAGTCTAATTCTTTTAGGAACTACTCGTAATAACAACCTTGCAAAATGAATCTGTTTATCATAAAGAGTTCATCGTTACTAACCCTGCTACACCTTAACTGTCATTTGAACAAAAAGATCACAATAAACTTTTGGAAAGAGTTGTCCTGATCGGATTATTGATGAAATATATTTGTATAATGCACAAAAGTAAAGATAACAATAAACTTTTGGAGTACATGTGAATATATAAGAACGTGCCACAAACCACGACTGTATGTGAGATGTTATTGCTTAGTAGTTTCCACAGTCACAAAGAAATGTCAAAGGAATACACCACGTACAAATCAAAACATATTATTGTCCACAAGAATGAACAAACTGAAGACAACACAATCCAACAGGGACATGGCAAATTAAGGCAACCGCGGGGCAGGCATCGAAGACCTTATCTTTTTAGTAGTGGCAGGCATTGAAGATTTTTTTAAGCATCGCCTGTTGGATGGACGTCGTTCGTTCGTAATAAAGAGGCTATCAAATGTTGCATGCATGCGAATAGAATATTTGCTTTTTCATTCGGTTGGGAGAGCGCAGGAATCCGATCCGATTCTGAACGAATACAAAACTAAGAGATATATTCAACGGCCCTTGTGTTTAGTTCAATTTATTTTATTTGGTGAGAGTTGAGACAATTCGCAGATGATGACTTGACGAGCGGGTAGTAATTACTCATTTGTTCTAAATTGTAAGTCATTCTAACATTTTGGAGAGTCAAAGTATCTTAAGTTTGACTAAATTTATATAATAAAATAATAATATTTATGATAACAAATAAGTATTATTAGGTTCTTCATTAATTATATTTTCATAGTATACTTATTCGATGTCATAAATCATTGTAATTCTCTTTATAATAATAAATTTTATCAAACTCGAGATGTTTTGACTCTAAAAAAATATTGGAATCACTTATAGTTTGGAACCGAGGGTGTAATTATAATAACCTAAATAAAGCAAGAGAGCACATATTCTTCGTTACCTGCTGCCCGCTGCTGCTCCGCGGACGAGCAACCTGCATTATAGTACTACTACTCAAGTGTTAATTAAACAACGCACCCAAGGCACGCGCCTATAAATCCAGTAGACCGACCCATTTCACGGACCCAAACATGTATAGACACTACACAAATCATGCACGCATGCATGAAGAGACAAATAAAACACCAGCACCGGCCGTGGGTTTCTGTGAGCACCGCAGTGACATGTGGCGGCGCCGTTCGTCCGTGCCATCCTATAGGACGCCAGCGGGAGGTGGAGGTCGTCGTTCACCGGACGTCGACGACGACATCAATGGTATAGTATCATAACTTAACTATATATATAAGTGTAAATAGCTTTACATTCCTTGGCTCTTTTCTTGGCTTCCATTGATCACTGCCAATTAATTAGCAACAATTTCTGGTTAAGTATATACACCCTCCGTCCAAAAAGGAGGGGCATGTACAATTTGGATATGATGGTAGTAGGGAGGGCACGCTGCGCAAAATTTTTTACTCCCTTCATCGTGTAATATAGTGCATTCTAGCATTTAAAATTTGTCATAAAATATAATGCATTCTGGAAGACAAAACCTAGTTTTGCATTAAATAGTTTGCTGGTGGTGAAATAATACATGGTATCTACGGAATATGTTAAAACACTAACTTGCCCCTCACTAGTTATGCAATGTATGCAGATGATTTAAAAGACATGCACACATGCATGGGATTAAGAAATCCAGAATGCTTTTTAATTTAGGATAAATTTTTAACCTTTGGTATCTTTATAGACCAACAAAAACGCCGGTTTCAAAACAAAGCAGCAGATGCTAGGGACCCGCGGCTGTGCGACAAGCAAAAGAAGGCCTACTTAGACCATACGTACGGTCAAGGTAAAACCCTCAACAGCAGCTGGCCAACCATGAACCAGGTGAGATATACAAGTGAATACAAATTTATGATACATGTGTTACTATAACCTATGATGATATTTATTATAATATTATAATATCATTTAGGACCTATGTTACTATAACTCATGATGATTTTTGCTACATGTTATAGTAAATCACTTCGAAGAAGTTAATATCGTAAATTAATATAGTTGTTATCGTAACTCAGGGTGGAGCTATAGACTAAGTTATTCTACACACACATATACACATACACACCACGATTAACTAGATTATTTTGAGTCTGGTACTTTTTTTGAAAGAGATTTTGAGTCTGGTACTACCTAGAGAGTTAATATATAATGAAGTTACTTAACAAAAATAAGCTTCAATATAATTTTTTTTAGAGTTCAAGGGCAAACGCCCCGGCCTTTCAATTAAAATCAAAAGACCAAGAGTCATTACAGCACAGGAGTTTAGCAATGCCGAGGGTGTCCACCAGGACTTAGTACAATGACCAAAAGCGTAAACAGCTAGAAGCCTTAGACTAACAAAAAGCTAAACATCTGGAGCACCAACAAGACCATTTTCAAGACATATTGAGGGAAACGTTCAGAGATCTCCACCAGGGGACGCCCCCTATCAATCTTCAGGTCTGCAGGATCCTGATTGCCCCGGGCTCCCACTTTAGGATCTCGTCTGTGAATCTTCATATGGTGTTTAGGCTCTCGTATGGAAGCCAAAGTACCCTGCCTGCTTTCAGCTTGATGCTGTTGATATACTCCACCAGCAGCTCTTTCTTGTCGGACGGGCACATAATTGTCCAATTCGTAAGGAGCCCAGTAATCCTGAAGAGAAGCAAACCAATCCTCTGAAAACAAAGATCATTCCTAAGTTTCCAAATAGACCAAATAACAGCATAGGTGATCATATTCACTAGAACATGTTTCTTATTGCTTAACCAATATTTTCCAATCTCTAACATGTTTTCTCCTACCCTGCAATCAAGAATATCAGACATAATGCTCCAACATTGTTTGGCTACCACACACTCAAAGAAAACATGGTGGATAGTTTCCTTTTCTAAGCAAAAGAGACAATTCTCATCCTCTACCTTTCTTCTTTTTGCTAAATTATCTCTAGGTATATTAGTGCTCTATTCTTAATGACTAACCAGAGGAAAAAATGTACTCTGGGTGGGACTTTGAGGCTCCAAACTGCATAAACATGTACTGGTTTAATACCCTTGAAGTTAATGACCTTGTAAAGAGATTGAGAGGAGTCCTGAGGAATTAAATTGCCAGATCAATTCATCTTCTCATTAGAGAACTGAACAGTAGATACTAACTCTGCAATATCCAGCCAAGATTGATAAAGTTCCTCAGAGATGCACCTTCTAAAAGTGCATTTCAAATTGACCCCGTCCCAGAGTTCAGCCAAAGCTTTCCCTTTTTCATTAACAATCCTATATAAAGGCCAAAACTGAATGGCCAAGCTAGATGAGCCTAACCAATTATCCTCCCATAATCTGATTTTCATTCCATTTCCTACTTTTCATCTATAGCCCATTCTAGCTGCCTGAGCAGCCCACATAAAACCCTTAAAAAAGCTAGAAAGAGCATTCTTAATCTCTTCTTCTAAAAAAGGTGCTACCAATAGTTTATTTTCATCAGCAGTAACTTTGTCATTATCCTCACAGAAAGATGGACCTAACTTCACATTAGCATCAGATTCTTTAGCAAATAACTTTTTATAAAAGTCTACAGCTATATCCATCATGCCTTTCTCGTCATAGACCAGCAGGACCCTCAAGACATTCAATTTTCTTTTTTCTACTTCTATGGTTTGCAATTGACTGAAAATAGGCAGTGTTCCTATCCCCTTCAAGCAAATTCATATCTCTTGATCTCTGTCTGGCTTTAATTTCTTCTAACGACTAGATGTGTTCTAACTCTTTTTCTACCATCCTAAGATCATTTGCTTCCTCTAATGTTAGATCTCTATTCTCAGCCAAGCTGTTCAGCCTACTGTACTTCTCCATGAGATTAACCTTAGATTTATTAAGTGCAGCTACCTCATTTGCAGCCCATCCCCTAACCATTCTTCTTAAGGTTCACACTTTCAATTGTCATCTATCAATACTCCTATCATATCTACAAGTTGTATTCCAGGCCTTTTCTACCATAGCTCTAAAAGAATCCTTTTCTAGCCACCATTTTTCAAACCTAAATCTCTTCTTTCCAAAACTAACATTATCACCAGAGTTCAACACTAAAGGGTTGTGGTCACTAGGTAGTCTTTCCAGTGCTTTAACACTGCTAAAGGGAAAGCAGATTCCCACTCAGTTGTAACAAAAATTCTATCTATCTTAGCAAAAGTAGGAATATCCTGGTTGTTAGTCCAGGTAAAGCTCTTATTGCTAGTACTAAATTCTATCAAACCCCATTTATCTATCCAGCTGTTAAAACGTCTGCCCATCTATGGTTAACTAAACCATTACTTTTATCACTAATAAACCTAACCAAATTAAAATGTCCCCCAATAAGAATGGGACCTTGTCAGGTGGCCATCAGAGATTCTAATTCATCTAAGAAATCTTGTTTCTGATCATCATAAGCAGGACAATAAACTACAATGAATTTCTAGGAGAAACCAGTTCTCTTACAGGTCAACATAGTACTGACAGAAAAAGATAAGACATCACCCACAGCCATGTTAATAAGATCTGAATTGGCCCCAACCAGGATTCCTCCTGCTGAACCTTTAGCCTCTAAATGGAACCAGTTAAAAGGAACATTCCATGTTATGGATTTTAACAACCCATCAGAAAGGTTGTTTTCTTAGTCTCCATAATACCCAAAAAATCTACATGATGATCATTCATTCTGCCCCTAAGAGCAGGGACTCTGTCAATTTTACCTAAACCCCTGATATTCTAAATCAAACCTATCATTTTTTATTCTTCTTACTCTTTTTCCTAGGACCTACTAGACCAACCTAACTCTGAGTTAGCTTCTGCCTTATCAGAATTTCTATTCTGACAGACAAGAGAGTGACTATGATTCTCATTACTACTAGAGGGTTTATCAAGATTGATCTCCTTTTCTGGAGACAAAACCTTATTGCAACTAGGGTGTTTACAAATTAGCTTGCTGTCAGCATTCCTACTGCAGTCTAGCTGAATCATACATTCTACTAGATTAGGATCTCCATCCATCACTTCTAAGCCAATATGCTTGGCAACAAAAAGTAAAAGAGGCTTAGAGATTTTGGAGGTTTTACCTGTTTTATCATCAAGATTCCATTTCCTTTTGGCTTCTTGAGCTTTGTCCATCATGGCCTTTCCATTATCAATGTTCCTGGAGCTTCTTCTCACTGGAATAACCGGACCCCACTGCTATTTCTTTCTATCCCTCTTCCCCTTCTGCAAGTTCTCTCCCAGGTCATCTTTGCCAGTATCAACATCAGAAGATATATTGTGATTAAAGTCCTCCTCTCTTTCTTCCACTAGATTGTGATCCATTGTTTCAGAGTTTTCTTCACCTTCCTTAGCTAGCAACTCTAGTTCTATCCCTATCATGGAGTTCCTTAGACTGCCTCCTTGACTCTCTTTTCTCTGCTCTGCAAGATCAAACACCCATTCTTCTGGAAGCTGACAGGAATCATCGTCATCCTGAATCATTGAGTCAAGAGTCATTTCAGTTTCATCCTCTACCTCCTCTTCTTCATCAAGCTCCATTGCTTTCAAGAGCTTTGCACATTCCATTGTCTCACTCTGATTCCCCAGGTCTTTTGCGTCAAACTGAAGAAGTCTCCTGACACCCTTAGTGCCAACAGGGGCACTCTTGCTTTCCTGGGCTTTAGTAGACGACTGCCCCTGATCCTTGTTCTGATCTCCACCTTTGGAACCCTCTTCGTCACCCTTTTCTGTATCTGACAACTCTTCTTCCCCTAGAGGATCATCTTCCTTCTTCTCTTCACCTCCTCCTTTGTCAGATCCATTCTCTGAAGGATTCCCAGTTTGCTCATAGTCTTATGGAGTAAACATAACCAAATGAATCTTGTTTTTGAAGACAAAAAGGCTTTCCTTAGGAATTTTGGTGGGATCTTTACATTGAATCCTGACCCTTACTGAGTTGCTGTTGAACAACAGCTGCCAGTCCACTTCAGTGATTCTGCCTATACTTGAAGAAACCTCCCAGAGAGTCTTCCAATCCACTCATTTAGGCGAATCCCTTGTATCTGCACCCAAACATCTACCAAGCTTCCAATAGGCTCAATTTCCCCATTCCACACACTAAGAGATCCCACAACTCCTGGCCTGTTGAGATCAAACACACAGATGCCTTCCCAATTACCAACTTTTCTACCTTCCTATCTGGAGGGAATCTCACAATATACCTGTAGTCATCAGATTTCTTCCATTGTCAAGCCCAGTCTTTATCAAATAGCTCTCTCAGATTTTCTAGAATGCCCTCTTCATCAATTTCTCCTTCCTCAATTGTGATCACACCAAAGTTGTCCATCCCCATCCAGTGCTTGAACCTATCTTCATTTTCCTCAATATCAATGTAAAGGAACCCCAACCCTTTGTTTGCACTCCCAAAATACTGAGCAGTCTGAGCTGGTTTCTTCCATTCAGGATGCACATCAACTATATGTTCAGAGCTTCTACAGATGAAACACACTTTGGGTCTTTTGCAAGCTGAGCTAAAGTGTCCTATCTGACCATAATTAAAGCACACAACATGCAGATTACTCTCCTTAGCAGCCTTAGCCATACCTACATCAGGAGCAACTTGGTGTTCTTCTTCCACAGTTGGGATCGCTCCACGGATTGGTTCTATGTGCGTTTGAGGCTGGTTCAGAGCTTGATTCTAGGGCTGCTTGGGGGCTGTTGTTGTCTCGCCCATCCTCTTCCCTGAAGACCAGCCCCCTCTAGGCCGAGGACCCTCGGGCTACCTGTTGTAGCCAGCCTGGTGAGGATGAGGCATAGGCGGTGGAGGATTGGGGTAGAAGCCAAACGACGGAGGTTGAGGTTGATTGAAGAACTGCGGCGGCGGCGGTGGAGGTGGAAACTGATACTGATTCCATCTCCCCACCTCTCCCAATCCTCCTCAAGGCTACGCGGCCTTGGACCCCTTCCCCTACCACGCCCCGCCATCGCTTCCCTGACCACTTGAGCAAAGCTATGCTTCTTCTCCTCACCCCAGAACAGATCCGCGAACCTCAACTTGGAAGGTGACTCAATCCAGGTGCCACTCTCGCCAACGGGGTAGCAATCAGAGGGGCTGAAGGCCTTGGAGCGCCATAGATCCTTCCTGATCCAGACCAGGCTCTCCCTACGACCCCACCCTTCACCCTAACCCTAGGTTGACGCGACAGGGGGGGTTCGATTTGGGGATAAACCAGAGTTGTCCCCAGAAGTCTTCAATCTCCTCCCCATCCGAGGTTTGGGGATAACCCTAGGTTTGGATCTCCCCTTGATCCGCTCCGAAGCCCGCCATTGATGGGAGCTCGACACCTGGTCGCTTCTCCGCACGCCACATCTTCCTCCACCCGCTGAGTGGCTATCACAAGGGACCCGATTCAGGGTGGGACTACGGAGACGCGAAGGTGAACTGCGCTCACGAACTGGCGAGTCCGGGACCCTGGCCGCCGGCGACGAGTGCGCCGCCCGTGTCGCCGCAGGGTCGCCTGTCCTCTCGACTCTCATTTTCTCCCTGTGGAACACCAGCTTCATTAATTTTACCCTGCTCCCAGAAAAGCTCCAATATAATCCAAACAGCCTAGCGAGTATAGTCTATGATTGAAATATCCAACCACTAAGTTATAAAAAGCTAATGTGACAGTATTACTTTCTCTAGTTAGTTACAAATATGACCAACAACCATTGGCACCGGCACTGCACATACGGAGGTCTAGTATATGACCTTAAGTTACCTTAGGATGTGTTTGGTTTGCGGGTTCAACTAGAATATCCCGGGTTCGTCCCAGATGATCTGTTGTTTGGTTCCAGAATCAGTGGGTTGGGTTCATCCCGCACAAGGTATATTCTCTCTTGATGCGGGTTCGTTCGGTACCTCCAAATCGGAGGAATCGTCTCGACCCAGATGGATGTTGTTGCATCTCCGTTGGCGAGCGCAGACGCGGGTTGCTCGGATGCTTCTCCATCGCCGGCATGGGCGACCTCTGGCGCCCAGCGATGTTCGCATGCTTCGGCCATGGCGCAGCTCCGTGCGACCTCCGGCCCTCGGCCCCGCCCTTCGACGCGGGACGAGCCCCTAGCCCTTAGCCCTCGACGGACGTTGCATCGACCTGCATCGACGGACGTTGCGTCCGTCCGTTGCACGCGCGCGTTCGTGAGCGGGAGGAGCGGCCTGGCGCGGTGCGGCGAGGAGGGAGCGAGCGGCGCCCGACGGAGGGAGGGAGGGAGCGACCGGCGAAGGCGGCGAGGAGGCGGCCGGGAGAGAGGGAGCGGGCGGGGAGGAGCCGGGGAGGGAGCGGGCGGCCGGCGGAGGCGGCGACCGGCGTCGGGGAGGAGTCGGGGAGGCAGCGCCGAGGAGGAGCCAGGGGCGGAGGCGCCGGGGAGGAGTCGGGGAGGCAGCGCCCGGCGTCGGGCGGAGCCAGAGGCGGCACGGTGTCGGGGAGGAATTGGGGAGGCAGCCGGCGTCGGAGGGAGAGCAGGGGCCTGTGGAAGGAGCCAGGAGAGGAGCCATGTGGGGGGGGGGAGGAAGAAGGTAGAAGAGGAAGGGAGGAAAAAAAAAGAAGAGGCTGACTGGTGGGCCCCGTAGCTGACAGGTGGGGCCCAGAACTAACGGTGTTAAAAGGACATCCATTCCAACCCTCTCAACCTCTTCAACCAAACAAAAGACTGGGGCGGCTCCAACCAACCCACATCGTCCCAAAAGCAAACACATGCTTAGTTTTGCCAGGGCGTGGTAGGGTCCATTAGATTATTTTTTTTCTTTTATAATAACATATGGACGCCTTTGTAAGCTGATCTGGTGTATACAACAGGACGAGGGTCATTACCCTGGCATGGGAAGCAAAGAGCCCTCTCGCTACGAGGCGTTCCAGACCGAGGATGAGGTGAAGCACACCGGTAGCGATTCCAACACCGTGCCTGTAGAGCACGTACCTGAACTGTTCTCCTTTTTGCGACCGTGAACTACTGGTAATCTAATACTCCTACTGAATAAAGCCATGAGATGTATCATCCGATCTATACACACGTGTCCAAACACTACTGCATGATGCAAGAGCAACTTCAACGGGAGTCATGAAATTAGAGCCTCTATTTTTTATTTGATAGCTCCTTTACTTTTGAAATCCCTCTTTTCTTGGTTGTATTCCAGCAGTGGTTCTCAAAATAGAGTATTTCTTAATTTCTAGTTCTTCGCTATCTATACATCTGTATTGGGCATAGTACAAATAGATAAATAAATATTTTTAATTCCACAATGAGTGTCAATATCTAAATAATCTATGAATTCAAATACGAATATTCAGATTTAAATACAAATTTGTTCTGAATTTAAATTGAAAGCACAAAGTTCATGGCATGACATAAAATAAATTGTATAGTCCATCATAACATGCACTACTACACAATGCTAAATGGAGGCGGGTATTGCAACCGCCTCCAATCAAAGGTCTCAGTTAATGTGAATTAACGGAGGCGGTTGCTTTGCCCGTCTCAGTTAATCTATTAATAGAGACGGGCGTCTTAACATGTCCGCCTCTATTATTGTTCTCCAGAAAACCCAAAAAACCAAAAAATTTTGTGACTTTAAAGAGTCAAACCCACAACCAACCCGAGGGAGGGACAAGGAGAGGTCGGACGCAGTCAAAGTACGCCTGCCCTGACAGAGACAGGCATGTTTCGCTCACTCCGCTAGGCCTGAAAGGACAACCATCTCGGGGGCGTACTACATTCTAGGACGTGCGATGATGACAAAGGCCACGACAAGACCTCATCGTGCAGGAAAGTTGGTGAACCACCACCGTGCCAACACCGGCACTGTAGCATCACGCCACACCATGCCGTGACATGGGAGCAAGACCACGACGATGACCATTCCAGGACGTGTGATGACGCTAGGACAAGACAGGCTTGCTTACAGGCCAAGTTTACTTGTTTCTCCCTCCCTCGGGCTCATGACCGTTCGATCGGAAGAACCCCTCTCTATATATGTAACCTAGCCCCCAAACTCTATATAAGGGCGGCTAGGCCTCCCTTCTAGGGGACAAACTCTCGAAGGCTTTATTAAGGCATTCGTTCACCTCACTCCTCCTAGCTCTTTTCCTTAGCTTATAGACCCATTGTAAGACTCTAGAGCACTTGAATCGAGAAACACGAACTCGAACCACCTTTGAGAAAGGATGTAGGGCTCCGGCCTGAACCAGTATAATTCCTTGTGTCTTTAAGTGCTACCATCGTCTTACGAGAGCAGCTCGACACACGTATAAATTCACTAGTCAGTTGACAAAACACAGACAACACCACACACTCATTCATGTCTATATATAATATGCTCTCTTTTTATATTAATATTTCATAATCTTATTGTTTAGACCAAAATTTGGGAAGAAGAACGCGGGAACTTGGAGCTTCCAAGATTGTGCCAATCAAGGAATCGATTGCATAAGGATCAATATCAGCTGATTCAGATGTGACACTGGAATCGGCTCTCTTCGAATGACGTCAGCAGATAACGACAATGAGCTACGGTTGACGTCGGGAAATACATATCAGACTCTACAAAAAGGGAAAGATTAGGGTCCAAGTTATCTTAAGTTAGGAATGCTTTCTTTTATACCAAAGATTGTAATGAGTCATACTTGAGTAGGATTCATGCTTAGGCTCCGGGTATAAATATTAGACCTCGGCTATTGTAAAGGACATCCAACCAATCAATACAAGTTACTCTTTTTTGGCTTTAAGCCAACCCTTAGGAGTAGGAGTAGTGTAGATCTCGGCGAGTTCTTCAACAAGCAGGGCTACATCGGTCCGGCCGACCTCCGGCTTGTCTGTAAGTACCATCATGGCTTATACTTCTGTTTGTGCGGCTGCATCGGTTAAGTTTGACCTCCACTGCGAGCTCTAGTATAAGCTAGTTATCGACACTTATCTAGTTTAAGTACGACTGCATCGGTCCGGCCGACCTCCACTGCTCGAATTAGATTAAGGTCAAGTTATCTGCTCTACCTAAGGGTGGCGTTCTTTGGGTAGATTCATTAAATTACCGATCTTGCTGATGTTCTCATTGCCATTAGTTTCAGCAACATCAATCTGCCCCGTCGAGATCGATCTAGATCGGCTTTATATCCTTTTAATCCGTCGTTTACTCTGCTACAACACGATGTTTTCTTATTTTAAGCGACGGGTTACGTTTCATTGGTTGTTCTACTTCGATCTTGATCGTGCATAGTATGCATTCAAAGACACATTTCGATCTTGGATAAGTTCACTGGTTAATGAGATCTAATCTAATGACACCACCATAGCTGCATCGATTCGGTCGAACCTCACTGGTAAGACTTTAGATTAGAAATCATCAAGTAGTGGTTTTGTTCATGATCGAGACATGTACTCTATTTGTTTGCTATGCCCGCATCGGCTAAATAGCCAATTGCCCGCGCCTTAACGCCTATAGTGTGTTTCCATGATTCTATTAAATGTGAATAGACCTGTTTACTTTAAAGGTTTGATTTGTTGTCTTTATCATGGCTTCATCGATCTGGTCGAACCCCACTGTTAGAGGTAGCAGGTTAGGTCTGATGAGTTCATAGATCTGTCCATGTTAAATAGTCGATTGCTCACATGTTGTAACCCCTTTTCACCTGAATCGACTGTTTTAGCCGATTTCGCTTGCGCTTTCACGTATATAGTATGCCTTTCAGAAAGTCTATCAATGTATATATGGTTTTATGGATTCTTCGGTTTTAGTTTGTTATCATCATCATAGCTGCCATCGATCCGGTCGAACCTCACTGTTGATGGTAACAGATTAGATTCAGAGCGTTTGTAGATCTATTTGTACTAGACAATCGATTTGTTCGCATGTTATATCCTTTCTTGTTAGATTCATCGGCTCAATGCTTTACATTAGTAATACTCACCTAGCTGATGATTTTACTTACATCTACGTGCACTGTACC